GCCAACGGCCCCTTCGACGAGCGGATGTGTCAGCAGTGGTTCGCACAGATGTCCTCAAACTCTCGAACATTCTTCTCGACGAGAATATGGATGTATTGGTGACTTCGGACTCAGTCGAGTGGTTTGGCGTCAAACTCAGGGCACTATTAACTCGAATACCTACTGTGGGACACCACCATACATGTGTACGGCCTAAATATGACTTTAACTATTACTTAATTGAGTAATTGATTGGACGTGTGGGCTATGGGTGTCATTCTGTTCAAGCTTTTCACGAAAGACTATCCCTTCTCTAAAAACAACAAAAGAGCGATCAAACAGATGAAGAGAAAGAAATATAACGATTGTTTGGATGAAAGGAAACCGAGTCCTCAGCTCAAGGCCTTCTTCGACAGAATCTTTGTGTTTGAAGCGAACGGAAGACCAAAAATGCAAGACCTCTGCAAAGATGTCTGGATTCGCGACAAGTTTTACGACAGGGAAGAGAAGACCATTCAACTGATGGATGCCTACACTGATTGAGTCGATAGTCATCTATTAATACAAGTGCTGATAATCTAGTCTTAGTTCTCTGACACTATAAAATAAATCAAATTAAATGTTAACTGCAATAAAAAAAAGTGCATGTTTAGATAAAATGAATAAAAGATTATAAATAATTAGAAAATGTTTATAAATTAATTTTTTATGAAAAGGCAGACAAAAGTTGTTTTTAATATATTAAGACATTATAATTTAAATATCTTTATTTGCCACGAATTTCAAACAACTAAATATAGAATAAATTCATTGAAAGTAATTATATAAACAATTGACTGAAGAATTGAGAAAACAATGGATTCAATGGTAGAGAAGAGTGTCGGATATGTTTTGAAGACAACGACGAGTCGGATCTGATGAGTGAGACTTGTAATGGTAAGGGAACTCAAAAATACGTTCACTTCTGGTGTCTTTCGCCATGGATTCTCACCAAAAGACAGGATTTTTGTAATGTTTGTAAAACTAAATACAAGAGAATTGAGTCCATACTAAAGGATAAGACTTTTGTGCAATTCATATGCGAAGACTCCGAGACTATGAAGCATTGCATTTATGGCTTATTCTTGACTTTACTGATGATTCTGACAATCTATTCCTCATATCTGTTAACAAGTTATAAAAAAATTCTCAGTGAACCACCTCTTAGAAAGTTATGGCATTTAATAGATCTCATAAATGCCTCACAGAATATTCATTTGATTATCAACACAAGCGTTGCTCTCATTTTGATTGTTCACGTCTTAGTCCTCATGGTTTTGGACTGACTTATAGCAAGAATTCCTTATATGGAGACAAATGAACCGGGTAATTATGTTTAATGTTTATGTACTGCATGAATTCTATATAACGATGACATTGACAGCAAACAAGTGTTAGTTTATTAGCCTTCAAACCACAATTTGCTGACAAGACTTGTGAGAAATGCCTCACATTTCACATGCATTTGTCAAATCATTATCTGTTTGTCTAAATAATCATTTTGTCTGCAAATCAATGTAAGTTATAGTCAGAGTCTACAGAATATGTTGTGTTTAATACAAAATATTCATTAATCATTTATTGGGCAAAACTTGTACCCAATCTGTTATTTTATATGATATTAATTAATATCATTGTAATTTACACTGTAACTAACTTACACATATTAATATAAACAGCATTTTGTTTTATAAAACTTGTTTTTGCAATTTTTAAGTAAGTAATGCAATTTTTCCGTAAAATAATTATAATTATATTTATAACATTTTGTTTGTAAATAATTGGCATTAATTTAATTCTTAATTATTAATGTATACTTTTTCTAACACTATTTGTTACAGAACTCAACTTATTCTTAAAATTTCAAACTTTTCATATAATTCTTGCAAATATAGAGTGAATCTCGAAAATAATGGCCAAAAACACAAATTCCGTAAAATTAAACCATTTTCTGCACTCAAGTCAGTCACACGCAGTACTGCGTGAGTGGCAGTCACGCGGAACCACACACTTCTCGTCCGCCGACTTTGTTTTGCCGCTATTTATAGTGAACTCCGACGACGACTGTCAGCCCATAGAGTCCTTACCCGAAGTGAATCGGATGGGTATTAACGTCTGTGTGGAGTACTTGCGACCACTGGTCACCCAA